CTCTAATTATTTGACCCATTCTATACTGTTTTTCATATTTGTGCTTTGTGTTAATGGATTTGAGGATGCTTGGTGTTAGCCAGGGATTGTTAGGTAAGACACATATGCAACAGTTAGACAACTTTATTCCGAAACGTTTCGCCTACACAGTAGGCGAAACGTTTCGGAATAAAGTTGTCTAACTGTTGCATATGTGTCTTACCTAAAAAACCTGTCGGTATTGTATACCATTTTGATGTTCAGCCAGGGATTATTCAATCTCTTTGCTGTGATCTGTTTAGTTTTTCTGGGGCAATGTCTGTTGTAGAGGCATTGGGCTTTTTTTAGAAAATTATTTATACATTCATTCATATCTGTATATGTTTCAAGCTCATTTGCCAGTCGATGTTATTCATAGCTGCTATAAAGTTGTTAACTGCTGTCTCGTTATGTAGTCTGAGGTTACTTTAGTAATGTCTTGTGGTAGTTTGCCCAGATTAGTTATGAGAAAGGTTGGGTAGTGGTCTGTAGTGTTGTCTGTGATTATGCCTGATTTTAAAGGGGATATGGTGTTTGTCCAGATCTGGTCTATTAAGGAGATGCTTGTCTCGGAGATTCTTGTAGGTTTAGATATTGCTGGTAGCAACAGTCAGTTGCTTTCTTATCTGACAGACATTTTCGGGTCTGTGTTGGCGCCTCGCTTTCCTCAGACTTTGTACAAGCAGAGGGAGTCCCACAAAGTTGTGTCCTTAGCACTATCCTTTTTCTCTTAGCTATAAATGACCTACCTTCCATTCTTCCATCGCATATTTGGTCATCACTTTAAGTGGATGACTTTGTTATAGCTTACTCAGGCGCTGACTGTCGCCTGGTAGCAGCCTCCCTTCAGGATGCGATTGACTGAGTTTCCCATTGGATCACTTTTTATGGCTTTAAATTTTCTATTGTGAAAACCCGTTTCATTACCTTCACTAGGTGTCTTCTTATCCCAGATATTCCATTATATTTACACGGCTCACGTGTTTCAGAATGCGATACGGTCAAGTTTCTTGGCCTTCTCTTCGATTGCTGGTTGACATGGAAACCTCGCATTTCTTCTTTGAAGGCAACTTGCCATGGTTGCCTGAAAGTTCTTAAAATTCTCGTGCATCATTCATGGGGAGCAGATCGCTGAAGTCCCTCTGTTTGCATTCCAGCCTAGTCTTGTCCAAGCTGGATTATGGCGACCAAGTCTATTCTGCGGCTTCTCCTACAACTCTTTCTAAGTTAGATCCCCTTCATTATCAAGGTCTCTGTTTATGCCTTGGTGCCTTTTGTTTATTCCTCTATGCAGAGGTGAATGTTCCTTCCTTAGCTGATCGTCGTGGTGCTCATTGTCTTTGTTACTTTGTGCTCATGACCTTCGTGTTTCTTCTACCTATATGTTGGTCTCAAACATTGGTAGAAGCCCATTGTTTGTTTGGCGCCCCTGCCTTCTCCAACCATTTTCTCTTCGTCTTTACTTCGGTCTTCTCTCCAATTGCCTTCTTTGTATGTTCATTTAGTGTCTGCCTTTTTCCATCCTCCATGGTAGGTTCCAACAGTTCATGTCTGTTCTCTCCCACTACCTTGCACCAAAGCAGCCTACGGCTGCTTCTCGCTATCTTTTTCTCGATTACTTCTGGTCACATGCTCGTGCTATCACTGTTGATACAGATGGTTCTAAATCTTCTGATGGTGTTGGGTTTGCAGCAGTATTCCCTAACGATATTGTCTGAGGTCATTTGTTAGACTTGGCTAGTATTTTTACTGCCGAGTTGTATGCCGTCCTCATAGCGCTTTTCATATTACACATGTCTCCTACATTTGTGATCATTTCAGATTCCCTCAGTGCATTACAAGCCATTAAACAATTTGATTTCCCTCATCCATTAGTCTTTCTTATTCAACTATGGTTGCACCTTGTGGCTAGCAAAATCAAAGACGTCGTTTTCTGTTGGGTCCCTGGACACGTTGATCAGCAGGGCATGAACAAATGGGTACTGCTGTGCAGTCAGTGGTGCATGATCTTCTGGTGTCTTGTTCAGAGATTATTTTACAGTCATCTCAGTCTGTCTTCGCAGCCATTGGCAACAATAGTGGTCGGGAATGCACCATAACAAATTGCACTCTATTAAACCGCTTTTAGGTTCGTGGCCATCTTCTTACCACCGTTGCCGTTCCTGGGAGATTGCACTTTCCCAGCTCCACATTGGCCATACGTATCTTACCCATGGGTATCTCATGGATCAACGCCCTATTACTCTGTGAGATTTGTTGGGTCCCTATCTTGGTTCTTCACTTTCATGTCAATTGCTTGGTTTACCAGCGAGCTCGCAGGTTTTACCTCCAGTGCTGCCGCCCGCCCTACCATTCTTTCTTTGTCTTTCCTTCTTGCAGATGGCTGTGCCTTTGCCTTACAATCACTTTTTGGCTTTTATCAACAGCTGCTTTACTGTACGAACTCTGACACATAGCCCTTAGTGTCCCTTCCAGCCCTTTTCTTTCCTCACCTCTGATCCCCTCTCCCCCTAGATGTTTATAGCCTCGGCACTCTTTTCTGCCCTGCAGCGCTATGTGACCCTTGTCGGTTTAGCACTTTCTTTGTTTATAATAATAATAACTCTTGACAGTGGAAGCATGATAAAAAAGTAGTGTATGTACATGCCACTGTGCATAGGCTTGTGATACACAGAAAAAGCAAAACCTGTGTACGAGTGGTGGACATAATGCCATCCTTTCCCATTACATTGTAAAATGCTCCAAACTTCAGAACACCCATAACTAACCTGATTCTTTTTTCTCCTCCTCCCTTTTCCCATTTCCTCTTTCTCCTTTGAGTTTTCTTTCTTCTGGCTTGGTTCTTTATTTATTTCCCCCTCTATGTTTTTGTGAGCCCCTACCTCACTGCTGCTTGCTTTCTTGCATGCTCCTTCCTTTCCTACTTGTCACATCCCTGTCTGCTGGGATACATACTGCCTTCTCTCCTTTCTGTTAGTGTGACTTTGTAAATGGTCTAAGTCAGACCGAAACATCGTTGTAATCTCCCCTCTCTTATGTGTGGGTTATTTGTGTATTACTTTTCAACATTGTCACTGCACTAACACCCTTACTTTATCTTCCCTCCTCGAGGACGGCCCCACCTTTGACACAGACTCCAGCTTTGACTTTTTGACAGCAACAGATTCATTACACGTCCTTTGATTGTACTTCCTTTAGTACTCCTCACGGCCCTTACTCTACCTCTGTTATATTCTCTTCCTTTGCTAGTCTCAGATCAAGCATATTACACAGTTAGTACACCCTACCCAGCAGTGCTGCATAACCCTTGTGGGTTTAGTGTTTAGTTTTGATTATATTAATAATCAGTAGTTATTGAATGAAAAATGAATATCACTGGTCAGTAAAATTGGCTAATTAGTACTTATGGCAGCCAGTAGGAGCATGAACCTTATGTCCAGGGAACCACAACACTGGTGAAAATTTGAAGCTGATCAGACGAGTTTATTCCTCAGTTATGGCAGTGATTCCAAGTTTTTTTTTTACAGTTTACATAAACAAATTTGCGTGCTAAGATGTGTCACCCATTAAAAATTGAAGCTGTTCAGAAGAGCTAAACTGAAATTTATTTAATATGATTTAATGGAAATAAAAAATTCCAACTATTTTACACACACAGTGATCAGATCTGCAGCTCCCACACTGCTGAATTTCTCTCCGTACCATCGTCACATTTTTTAGCACCTTTTTTTTGAATATTTGAAGCTATGCCACTGAGGATTTTGGAAGTTATCTGAGGCATTCTAGGATGCTGGGACTGGTTTCAATAACTTTGGTCATAGGTCATGTGAACATGCCAGTACTTGCAAGAAATTGGGCCTTGTTGCTGTAAACAAGTGGTGAAAATTTGAAGCTGATTGGACGAGATATTCTTTAGGCAGTACCTGACCAGCCAGGCTGTGGTTTATATGTTGAAGTGCCTGTGGCCGGCAGTAACAGCCTAGTTAATCAGGCCCAGATCCACCATGAAGCCTGGTCACGGACTGGGCCATGGAGCTGTTGACCCCTGGAACAACCATCAGGTAGACACAAATGTAAAAGATTTACTCTATTTCTCAGACAATAAACTATAGGAATGATTGGTTATGGTTTATTGTGTCCCAGTAATTGAATTAGACCTATTAAAATCCCATAAAACAGGCTGGGGGTTGTAGGGGAGGGGGCCTTGCCTGTTCTCAGGAAAATGGGCAGAATTCTAATACATATTTCCATTACTTTGAGCTCAATTTCAAGCTACTTCTGGTCCTGGAACCAACCAAAATAATCTCTATTGCAGCAGTATGTCTTCCATTCTGTCAAATGATACCAAGAAACAGTAAATAAAACAAAAACTGTCCTAAAAACACTTCAAAAGTCAGTATTTTAAACCAAACACATGGTCAGAGTTTTACTTTTTCCCATCATGCCCAATGTGGAGCAAGATTTGTTTTATACTGTGTACACTCATTGCACAGACAGACCTATTGGTCATATCTGAGTAAGCCAAACTCATGATATAGACTACCTGAGGGATCTGGACTCAGTGATGTAGTTCTGTGTGATGGTAACTGAAAGAGTTGAAGGTACTCCTTCAGGGTTACCTGAGTACTGTAGTAATTTGTTCTCAAACATCTTGGGATTAAAATAAATTTTTGTAAAATGAATGTAATGCCAGGGCTCTGTACTGTGAATTACTAATTCTCTAAAATAACAAATATTTGTGTTGTGTATACATGTATAGTTAATATTTATTCAGTGAATAAGTGTTTTACTTTTCAGGTTCTTGTTCATGAATTGACGGAGAAGTGCTGGGACAAGTGTATGGACCGTCCATCAACACGTCTTGAGTCCCGCACAGAGAGCTGCACCACTAACTGTGTTGAACGTTTCATTGATGCCAATAACTTTGTTGCCAACCGCTTGCAAAAAGTGGCGACTACCTCAGGACTTATGTAAAGCAATAATAATTAAAAAGAAAAAGAAATTAGGTCTAGAGAGTTCATACTCGCAAAAAATAATACATAGTTCTCTTGTAATTAAAACATTTTATTGTGTATTAATGTATAGATTTGCTTTTCTTTCTTAAATGTATTTGCTTTCTTATTTTTAATTGGCATATCTTGTATTCAACAAAATGTTGAGAGTGAAGGATTTTTTATATAGACACAGGAGGAAATTTCTGATTGGAGGTGCAGTTATAGGTGGTGTTGCTCTCCTCAGTCGTTATGCAGAACGTAAGCTTATTGAATGGCACGATCAACAGACACGAATCTTACTGGACAAACAGAAAAAGCGACAACATTATGAAAACACACACAGAACAGCAAATGCTACAGTTATGAGCTTGTCAGTCAGTATGAAAGAAGTAATTTCCAAAGAGCTAGATGCAGATGCACTTCTTCAAGCAGTGAGGGAACAGCCTCAACACAAACATAATATTTGGCAGCAACTCAAGATTGTGGGATTCAGTCGTGCTGTTTCAAACTGTTTATGTTGCAAGTTTGGTGTCCTCAGCTGTGCATATACAACTCATGCTACTTGGAGGATACACATTTGGGGACCTCGTACATTCTGGTCATGCAGGCATACCAATATCTCAAGCACTACAGCAAAAATATCTTGCAATTCTTCACTACCTTGTTGAGGAGGGAGTTCCCAAACTTTTGCAGCATGTGACACAAGCTGTCACCCATATAATCTCTGGATTGCCTCTTAATCGACCTCTTACTTTATGCCAGTTAGAAGGAATCTTCCAGGAAATTAAACTTGACCTAGCTGGAGAAGCTGTCTGTGAAGGCGGCCTTCAGGAGAGAAGACTGGCTAAGCTTGAGCCATGGAGCAGATATGTACTTCTTGCTCCTGTACCACCTGAAGGTGGAACAGGTGATGATAGGATACTCTACAATATGTTAATTGAAACAAATGATATTCTTGATTGTGAAGATTTTAGTACTGTAATGGACACTTTAATTCAACATGGTTTTAATCATTTGTTGGACAGAATTGCTGAATTTTATCCACTCCCAAAAAATCAACTTGGGGCCAGTGGATCTAATGAGAATTGGGTGGATAATGTTAGTCGAGATGTTCCAGCTAGTGTGTGTGACAATGCTGGTGAGAGTTCTTCACTACAACATCCTATTACTACTACCACTAGTTTCTCTCAGAACAGCTCCCTTCCTGTGGCTAAGTTAGTTCCACTTTTATCTGGGGTGGTGCATGCAGCTTTATCCCCGGCACCTGGGCAGCTCTTGCAGAAGGTTCTCACAGTTGACAAACTTGAATCACTGGGAGCAAATGTTTATGAAGCTTTTGCATTGCCTCTTGGACAGCAGGTATGAGGTGCATTTATTCTAAACAACTACGTAAACATTTATATGTTGATTGCTGAATTGAGTTATTCATCATATAACTTTTGTTAAATCTAAATTACACTGTCAAAAAATATAAATTGTCAGGAATATGCTGGGTTTATATAAAACAAATTCTAGAAATATACAAAATGTTGCTGTATTTCCCATCATATGATGCATATTTTTTCCAGACTTTTTATTAAAAAACTGCATTTATTTAACCCATATCATCAGTATTACTGAAGAAAAAATAAATTTTTTATTTAGTATAACTTTATTTTTCCACCCAGAGAGGTACTACTGTCCTGCCAAGAGAGTGTAAAACAGAAGCCTGTTATTGTTTTACATGATGGTGGGATTGCTTGTGTCTTTTTTTTTTTTTATCTCAAAAACATGCAAGATTTCTGGTATATCTTGCTACTTCTGCTTATACGGTCGCACTACACATATATATATGCACACCCCTCTGGGTTTTCTTCTATTTCCTTACTAGTTCTTGTTTATTTCCTCTTATCTCCATGGTGAAGTGGAACAGAATTTTTCCTCCGTAAGCCATGTGTGTTGTAAGAGGCGACTAAAATGCTGGGAGCAAGGAGCTAGTAACCCCTTCTGTATAAATTACTAAAATTAAAGAGAGAAACTCTCATTTTTCTTTTTGGGTCATCCTGCCTCAGTGGGATATGACCAGTTTGTTGAAAGAAAAAGAATTTTATTTTTTATGCTCTTGATTAAATACTAAATCTGTGTCATACAATTGCGAGAGAAAAATAGGAGTAAATGATGACTCAGGGGTCATATGAACTTAGTACTGTAGTTGTTGGTTAAAGGTTATAACGTATGTTATAGCATTTCTTATTCCTTGTTATGCCATTTGTAGACATTATATTCGGATGACTCACAAAATCGTAATGACACGATTGCAAACAAACCATACCATGGGCGGGGATAGAACCCACAATCAGAGAGTCTCAAAACTCCAGACAGTCGCGTTAGCCACTGGACCAGCTAGCCACAATAAGATTCGTCCAACTAGGTATATTTCTACACCATAGGAAGGTTAGCATAGGCACCACTGTGACCGCAAATGCAAGTTTTTACAGATGAATCTCCAGCTAGCATGGCCGTGACGAACTCTAGTTCAAGTCCCCTCAAAGCTGTCAACATGACTCACGAAATCATAATGACACGATTGCAAACAAACCATACCACGGGCGAAGATAGAACCCGCGACGGTCTGGAGTTTTGAGACTCTCTGATCGCAGGTTCTATCTCCGCCCGTGGTATGGTTTGTTTGCAATCGTGTCATTACGATTTCGCGAGTCATGTTGATGGCTTTGAGGGGACTTGAGCTAGAGTTCGTCATGGCCACACTAGCTGGAGATTCATCTGTAAAAACTTGCATTTGTGGTCACAGTGGTGCCTATGCTAACCTTCCTAAAGTGTAGAAATATACCTAGTTGGATGAATCTTATTGTGGCTAGCTGGTCCAGTGACTAACGCGACGGTCTGGAGTTTTGAGACTCTCTGATCACGGGTTCTATCCCTGCCCATGGTATGGTTGGTTTGCAGTCGTGTCATTACGATTTCGCGAGTCATGTTGACGGCTTTGAGGGGATTTGAGCTAGAGTTCATCATGGCCACGCTAGCTGGAGATTTGTCTGTAAAAACTTGCATTTGTGGTCACAGTGGTGCCTATGCTAACCTTCCTATGGTGTAGAAATATACCCAG